CTGTATACCATCTATATTTTACAAAATTTTATACCTGAACATTTGTAGAACTTTTTATCACAAATATTTTTTTTTTGTAAAATGTAAGAAAAAACGTTTTTTCCAGGTTTAATAAACTTTTTGGGAAACACTGTATAATGGATTGCGACGTGCTCTTCGAGCACGTCGTTAGACAATGCCTACACTTTTTGAGACCTCCTGTATTATATATAACATATATTTTTCTTTTTAATTTTAACGAGATTAAATGATAAATTTTTCAATGTGCAATAAATCTGTCATTTTGACAGGTAAACCAATATCACCGAATTTATCTTAAAAAATATTATTAAAATAAAAAGTGATCGTAATAATTATGACTAACCCTGTATAATTATGAATACGTAAATCAAATTTCAAAATGAGAATAATCGTGTTATAATTACACCTCAAATTTCGTGAAAATTTATTAATTCAATAAAAATATATTTCGAAATGTTTTATTTTAAATATTCTACACGAAAATTTTATGGTTAAAAAATTACAACCATAAATTTTTGCGAAATATTATTAAACCACTCTGTATACATATTTTTTTCAAACATTATTATTGGAAAAAATCCATTTGTTTTAATAGTATACGCAAAAATTTTCTCGAAATATTATTGAATCTCCCTATATAAATATTCCTTCAAACATTTTAATTGGAAAAAATTTCTAAACATTCCGCAATATTTTGTTTTAATATTATACGCAAACATTTTCTCGAAATATTATTGAATCACCCTAATTTAATATTTCTTTAATCATTATTATTAGAAAAATTTTTAAATAGTCAGAAATGTGAAATTTTGAATTATTATTAAAATTTTATCAAAAAATACCGAGGCCTTCACAACTGTTTCAAAATGTTTGACGATTGTGATCTTAAAAATACTTTTTTTATTTTAAACTCGATGAACTTAATATTTTAACATGACGTATACGAAAAAACGTAACATAACTTAACAATTTTAACTAACATCCATTTGTAAACTACAATATTTTATTATATGTGGTTTTACTGTTTTACTGAACAATGTTGAATTTTCGCATTTTTCTTTTTTCAATTTTTCATGAAATCTGCATATGGCCGAAACGTTTGTGTCTTCCCAAAAGTGACTTTAGACTGTATATTTTTTTTAAGTGTATCATGTGTAATTTAGAAAAATAAAAAAATGGTTAAAACACCCGCCTAAAAGTTTCTTTTTTTAATTTTTTATAAATCGAAATTAAAATAAAAAAAAAAAAAATAATGACCGATAACTTTGGTTTTTTTTTTTTAAATAAAAAGTGTATAATTTTATTTTATATATAATTCCGTTTTAAAATTTGCGTAAAGTGTAGTTGTGATATTTTGTAAATTCTGAATATATTATTGTAAAACAAATAAAAGGTAACTCCGTTTCGGAAAACATTCATCTCGTTCGATGGAACTAGTAGAATGTTATCGAAAACTGAAAGCTACTAAAAAACATCAACTGAAGTATGGTATATCTGAATTTTTGTATAGCATAAGAAGTAAATTCATTATGCGTTTAGACTATTGCTGTTAACTAAAAATTTAACCAAAAACCTATTTTATCGCATATAACACAACAGAGATTTTTAATTAAGGTTTTTTTTTTCTTCTTTAACTCTACAAGCGGGATCTACAAGCTTTGAAGCTAAACAAATCACAGTTAATTAATAAAACATTTACTATTATTTATTATATTATTACAATAAATTTTGAAATGCTATTTGATTGAATTCTAACAAACTTCTTATACTACATCATGCAAATTTTGATATTAATTATGAATCAAATTATAACTGTATATATTGCCGTGCTAGTATCGGGATAGGGAAAGGCTTTCAGCTACTTTTTTTGGGCCTCCAACGGTATCAATGCGACAAAATAGATTCATAAAAATGTAACTAAACCTTCCAACTGAATATGGTTAGAAATTGAAAAACTGTTGTGCGATAATCGCACTTGTATTATGGGCTATTGCAAATTAAAGACTTTTTTGGTAATTTTACAATAAATATTTGTCCATTCGGGCTGTTAGACTTTAATATTTATGTAAAATACACTAAAGGGCGGACGAAAAACTGTCATTCCGTCGCGCCTGGGGTGGCTAAAATGTTGAATTCGAACATCGTTTTTGAAAATTTCGATAATCATTTTCAAAATCGATTTTCGATTTGGGCTATTGTAAAATTTTTTATTGTGATAATTACGTAAAGTAATTATAGTGGGCAAAATATTTTGAAGCACTGTGTGCAACCGGGCTATATTTAATATATTTTTAACTGTATTTTAACATCATCGTCAAGTCAATGTATGTAAACCATTTTTTTTCTCACGATCGGTATAATAGACGGCCTTACTCGCCTCTATATTATTCGGTATGTTGCATAAAAGGCGACAATTTTACTCAAACGGATCTGGAATGATGACCTGTTTGAAAAAACTGCCCAAAAAAATTTGTTACACCAGTTTGGATAATCATTTTTTAATTTTTTTTTCTAAAATTTATACTTTTGAATCTGGTATATATTTAAATGATTATCCTGTTGAATTTAGTTCGAAATTTTGAATAATTTAGAAAAACCAAAATCGTTATTATTCGGGGGTGTTGTGAAATAAACTTTTATGCATTAAATTTTACACATTTGTGTATAGTGTGTGTAAAATGTCTCTGTTTTTCGTCACTTTTTGGGGAATATGACAGCAAAGTGATTTGCTGTTTTAACTATTGTAATACTTTTAGCAACTATTGACTATATATGGCTATTGATAGATGTGAAATTGAATAAATCCGAAAAATTGCATTGAACTATTTACATACAAAATGAAGAAATTTCTGTAAAAAAATAATAATCAACGAAAATTTGTTTGGGAATGCTTATGTACAGAGGCTCTTAATTTTTAATAAAAATTAATTATTTACAAATTATAAAACCACATTTTTGTTTTTTTCGAAAGAAAATTGAAACAGTTCAAAATTATTAAGTACGAATGAATCGTTGGGTTCTGTATATTATTTTTTATTTCGAAAATATACAAAATAAATTTTGTTCTTTCATGCATTCGTTTTACATTCGCTCCTTCAACAGTTCTGATATTTCAGAATAAAAATTATAGTTTTTTGTACTTTTTAATAAAATAGATATAAAATTAAAGCCGATTTTACATTTCTTAAAAATAAAAATTATAAAGTTTTACATTGTAAAATCACAGTATAAATTGCAGAAAAATTATTGTTATTGCTAGGTATGTTACAAAAAAACCGGCCAAATTATTAAAAAAAAATCACAGCAAAAACAAAACATAAAATAAGTGAGTATAAATTTTTCGAAAAATTTATATTTCATTTTCATTTTTTTTTAGAAAAAAGTTTGCATATTCTCTATATATTCATTCATACAATTTTTATTCTAAAAACAATTAGAGATATATTTATGTACAACCTATGTTTAAGTAATTTTGGAAACGCCGGTTTCGGCGTCTCTTCATAACACTTAATAACTATACATTGTTTAATGATTTTTTGTAGTTGGACACTTTTAAAGTGTAATAATTAATAAATTTAATATTATGGCCTAGCCATCAAATATTACACTGAGCGCAATAAACGCAATAAAAAAAAAAAAAACTATTTGGCACATTATTGAAATTTAAAGATCAAACTCAGTACGGATTCAACTAAATCGATGCACCTTCCATTTTGATTTTATCATAAAATACGTTTAGAGAAAATCACAAGCTAAACCTTCAAAAACTCCACTAAATGACAATGATCACGCCAGAAAAAATCATAAGCTGAACCTTCAAAAACTCCACATAAATGATAATGATCACGCCAATATTTATTATTAAAGGTGATTATTATGCTAAAAAATAAGTAATTTGTATAAATGAAATAAAGCTTGGCAAATTTAGTTCACTAGTGCAAAGATTCCCACAATATATGAAATTCTCTGATAGAATTTGTAAACATTATTAAAATGTTTAGAATAAAAATATTTAAAAAATAAAACGTTTCTCAACATTTTTCAAATTAAAATAAATATTTATTTTCATTTATTTAAATTTCGATAAAATTAGTTAAATTTTAACAACTTGGCAACGTTGCTTTTTATGTTGCAAGATTTTTGAATGTCACACCTTTTAAAGAAAGTATGAATTATTGGTTTGCATAGTTGTAAAATAAATTTAATTATGACAGCACAACTTGGCATCGCTTGCTTTTTTAAAAATATTAAATATTTGGAATTTTTGAAGTGTCGTCTGATTTTTGAATTTAAAATATTTGGTGAAATTATCAAATTAATTTTGGAATGAAATTACGTCATTTTGACAATTGAAGTGTCACGTGTCACTACCAGCTTTTTACAAAACACGTTATTACTGGTTTAAATTTAAAATTTTTGAATTTCAAATATGAATAATGTAATAAAAATTTTCTACTTACTTTTTTTAATTTTTGATAAAACCAAAATCGAAACCACATCAAAATAGATCATTAAATAGTGTATGTACTGGGCGTTTCAATAAATACTACACCTTTTGAATAGTTTAAAAATTCGCTCATTTTTAATTTCTAATGCTAATATTAGGAAATTAAAAAAATCATATTAATCAATTCAAAAACTGTAGTAAACGTTGAGACACTTGCAGGAATGGGAAAACAGTAATTATTAATTTATATTTCATTGATTATAAATAATTTTTGGTTACAATATTCTTTAATGGAACAATTTAAAAAAAAAATTTCTACAAACTTTCAAACATTTTAAAGTTAAGTTAAACGAATTAGAATATATTGATTTATTTTATATTAAAGTTTTCTAATAAAAATAAAAAAAAGTTATTTCAAATACGGATAGAATTAGTAAGAAATAAATTCAATAGAAGGAAAAGTATTAAATTTTAAAAAATTCTACATACTTTTTTTGCAAAGAAAAATATTTCAAGTTCTCAAAAGATTGGCCTATTTATTTTAATGTAAATGTCAACAAATTATTATTTGTTTTATATGTAAAGAGTTTTTGTTTTAAAATACAGTGCGAGTCAAAAGTAATAAATGACGGAATTTTTTTTGGAAAACTCCAATTTTGTTTTGAAATTCCGCATTTTTTATTTAATATTCGGATTTATAGGGTGATGCGTGTAAATAATAATCCTGTATTATTTAGTTTTTACCCGCACAGTATAAACAATTCGACAGTACCTAATTTTGCGTTTTTTTTTAAATTTTACATAATTTGATCTGGCATTAAAAATGCAGTACTCAATAAAATTAAAATATTCATTTGAATGTACAGTGTATTGCAGAAAGTTTGCACAACAGAAAATTTTAAATCAAAAAATTTTATTCTCAAAAAATGTTGATGTGTGACCTAAAACCGAACACAAACAACATGAATATTACAAATTTTCTTTCATATACGAATATGAAATCACAGCCACCTAAATAAAAAAAACATTTTTGTATCATTTAGAGTACTTAACTATTCCTATTTCCTTGTTGAAAACTTTTCGCTACACATTGTACATTTATCAAAAAATAATAGTGTTTAAGGTACCTCAATTTTATTTATAGTTTTTGGAGAATTTTGTGGGCAACTTTGTATAACATTGAGGTCTTAATTCCTATATTATATATAAAACATATTTTCCATTGAACCATTTAGTATGCATCCAATACCAGATTAAACTATATCTTTAACCCAATTTTAATTAATTAAATTTCGGGGTGTTCCACAAGGATCCGTTTGCTGACTGCTTTCAATAATAATTAGTTAATCTTCTATTCTCGCATTAGTCAATTAATAAAAATCCACGCAAGATTAATTAATATATTTGATTTTTTTTTTTAATTTAAAAAACATATTCTCCATAGTTTTTTTGCAGTAAAAGATCTAAATAATAGAAATATTAAAATTTTCGGATGATAAAAGTTTCATCAGAAATAATATATTAATGTATATTAAATTTTGTTAGATATTTAATATTTGTTGATTTAACTTTATATTTGTCATATTTAAATTTCTTCAGAGTGATGACCACAGTCAAAAATCAATTTATTTTAAAATCTTATTTTTAAAAATATATATATTTCGCTATAATTACTGTTTTCCCTGTTCAAACTAAAATTAAAACTAAAAAAACACAACAACTTTGTACTATTTTTTTATAGAAAAAAAAAAAAGACAGATGGTTTATTATGAAGCACCTTCGTTTGATAAAAATTACCATTAAAAACAAACAAATAGCTCTACAACTAACTCAAATTTTTAAAACAACCATCCGCCTCTTTTTTTTCAGTGTAGTTTTATTTTTATTACAAGTTTTTTCTTTTTCTCTATCGAAACGAAATCTGAATTGTTTTTTTTTTCTAATATTATGGGGATGATGGTTCTTACGTATTATGCGTTCAGTAGTAGCTAAAATTTCATGGTTGTTGATTTTGTTGTTGGCTGGTTAGCGGAAACCCCAACGTCCTGGGATCGCTACCGTGCAACCTTAAGGCTTGCTCTAACCTTTGTTCTTGTAGCCTTAAGGCCTCGGTTAGATCCGGACTTAATTGCTGCGAGGGTTGACCTTGGTGACCCTGGTAATTTCCTATAATAAAACAAATGGGTCAAATATGTAAAAGATACTTCTTTTGTAAAAAAATGGTTTCTAAAAGAGGTACGCTATGGGTGACCATAAAAGCAAAATTAAGACAAAATTTTCGAAATCTACCACTTGACAATTTGTGTTATAATTTGTTTAAATCAATTTGTCGCGTAACTGTGAGAGGTAGTAGAAAATGTTTTATACAAAACTTGTACATTTTAGCTTATTACTCAAATTTATTTTTTTATGCTAAAACTGTAAATGTAAGAGTTGTACGGCCTTTTTTACAGCTTAAATAGTAATTACATTGGACATTTATTTAATATACCGGTCAAGTAATTTTGAACTGGAGTAATTATACGGCCAAATTCTTTTGATTTCCTACTATATTTATTTTGAATTTAACATTGCTTGTTGTTAGATTAAATCAGACGAAATGGACATCAAAAAGGCTAAGGGAGTAAATCGAAATGTAATAAAAAAAATAATTTAAACATTAAATTATATTTATACTGAAATGAAAAAATAAGTTGTATTGTCTTACAATGATGAGAAAAGGTTTGAAGCTAAAAATTTTACCGTAAGGCCAAAAAGACATAATAAATCAGCGGCTAAAAAAAAAGATAAAAATTTAGATGTGGGACGAAAATTTGTTTTTTGATTTTTTGTTGTTTTTGTTTTTTTGGCATTATTGATTTGGTTTATTTTTTGTTTTTGGTGCTTTTTTGTTTTTAAGGTTTTTATGTTGTTTTTTGGTTTTTATGTTGTTTGTTTTTTGTTTTTGTTTTGTTTCTTTATGATTTTTATTATAAATATGATTTTAATTTTTATGACTTTTATTTTTATAATTTTTATACTGATGACTTATGCCTTTTATAACTTTGATTTTTATATTAAATTTTTTTATTTCTTTATTTTGTCCATTTTTAATTTTGAGTAGTTTTATTTTCGTGTATAGTTAATTATTTCGTTTTGAACTATATTTTAGTTTTTTTTTGTTTTTTGTTTTTATGCTTTTTGTTTTTATGTTTTTTAAGTTTGTTGTTTTTGTCTTTGTTTTTTTTGTCTTTGTTTTTTTTTTGTTTTTTGGTTGTTTTTGGTTATTGTTTTTGTATTTTTTGTTTTTTTTTTGTTTATTTTTATTATTGTTATGAATATGATTTTAATTTTTTGATTTTTATGTTTATGATTTTGATTTTTTTTTATTTTTATGTTTATGTTTATGATTTTGATTTTTTTTTATTTTTATGTTTATGTTTATGATTTTATGACTAATGACATGCCTTTTATGACTTTTTGTTACAAATTATCGGTGCATTTTTAAAAGTTCTTGTTAAGCGGCAGGACAAATTTAGGTATTAAAATATTCTTACCGTTATGACGCAACGGACTGTGACTGCTCTCCTGCTGGTGCTGGCTGAGTTGCGGCAACGCCTGGCTCATAGCCAATCGAAGCGCCGTTTCCGCTTGCGATCGTATCAGCGCTTCGGCGTGCTGCATCCGCAGCGCCTCCTGTTGTTGCTGTTGCGATTGCTGCGACGACGACATATCCATGACGGACGATCGCATCACGTCCATGTTTCGAATGCTGTCCATCGACGCTCGCATAGCGTTCATCGCGTTCATCGACAACGACAGCGTATCGTTTGTAATAGGAGGCGTCGATGGATTGCTGGAGTTGTTCACTTGGTTCGCTTGCGTCACGCCGAGTCTCATTGCTAAATTGGCGAGGTTAGCGGCAGTAATATTGGCGGCAGCTGATGAATCCGAGCCTAATCCGGGCGGTACTTGACCTTGGTTGACCATGTTCGCTAGGACGGCCATTCTGTTCGCCGTGTGGAGTTGGTCTTCGACGTTGTACTGTTGATGCAGTCCGTTGTTACCTGTAAGAACACAACCATTTAAGTCTTCATTCCTGTCTAAATTACTAATCTTATATTGTATCATTATTTTTAATGTGAAATTATTGACTCACTTCTTAAGATATCACCTAATTTAGTGCTGCAGTTGTTGTTATTATTGTTCAGTCCACCTTCTGAGCCTGCAGAAGATAATCGTCCATTGCCAGAGGAACTATCGCTATGAGCACTAGGAGAAGCGCACATAGGACTGCCGCTAGCTACAAAAGAAAACCAAAATATATCAAGATGGCCTATTTGGCCCCACGTTGGGCGCCAAATATTTTGATATTTAATTTGGGATCAGTCACTATTTTTATTAATTGCTATATTTTTACTTTACAGCCCCACGTTGATAAGCCCAACTGCCTTGTTATTTTAATTTGATTTATGTGATTTTATTGTTTTGAATACACAGGATTTATTTTGTTTCTGAGACAAAAATATAATTTAGAACATTGGTGAAAGCATTTTTGATTACTTACCAGGACCCATTCCGGTCAAAGCTAATAAACCACTACCGGAGGCAGACGTCACAGCAGCCAATATGCTTTCTCTCTCTCTCCTTTCGGCTGCTGCTCTTGATAAGACGTATTGAGCAGCGAACTGATGCTTCGGATCCATCCTCATGTGTTCCATATGAGATAGCAGTCCTGATAAAAACGATACATCAGTAAAATACAAATGAATTGAAATATAAAAAAAAAATAACGACATGAATGAAAAAAAAGCACATAGAAAAACATAAAATAAAAAAATATGTGATTGAAAGCAAATGTTAAGCAACTGTGGTAATATTCTCATCAGCTTCAGTCCACATATGTAAGAAAAAAAAATAAAAAAATTAAATGATTAAAAAACTATTTGAGTCGCCATTTTGGGGGTGTTTATTAATTTTTTTGGTTTAATTCCTGTTCTGTTATACTTCTCTTACTCATGTTCGTCAGTTCGTCAATGATCAAAATATTGTTGAAAAATAAAAATCACGAGATTACATATGTGGACTTACTGTTGAGAATATTATCGATTTAGAGGAATAGAATGACTTCGACAAATATTATTTCTTAAAAATATTCAGTAGATTGCAAACAAATCAATCTCAGAGTGTACATAACATGTTTGGTCGTTTGGTCGTCAGGGCTTTAATAGAATATTAAATGTTCAAAGGTTACTTAGGTGATTTTTTCTGTTGGCTTTTTCTGTTAACAATTTTGTCTGTTAACAATACAAGCTGTTTAGAATGTTAACTTTTTCGCTTGTATATAAATTAAAAATTGTCTTAACAAAAATTTATTTAGTGTAAATTAAATTATATAAAAAATTTTGTCTGTCAACAACAATTTTGTTTGTTAACTGTTTTGTCTGTTAACTTCAATTTTGTCTGTCAATTTAAACTGTTCAGACAATTGAAACTATTCAAATGTTACTTAGTATTAACTTGGTTTCAATTGTCTATAAATTGCCTGTCAAAAACAATTTAAATTGTTATCATACATAATTGAGTTAAAATAACTTGTCTATAAAACATCGGAAATTTAGTTTCATTTGATTAAAACACAGTTTCAGTTGTATGTAACATAGATTCAGTTATCTGAAACTTATTTTTATTGGTTTAAAACTTAAGATAGCTCTGAGATTAATTTATTCCAACATATTTTTTGTTTTTTTCTTCATATATTATAATATTAAATTTATTAAGTTTGAATTAATATATTTTTCTCAAATATTAAAAAAAGTAATACGCTCTTTTTCAAAATTCATAATTTTAACCACTCAATTTTACTGTTTATTTTTAAAAAATTAAACCAAAATTGGCACCATGATTGGACATTGAAATTAAGTTGAAATCATTGAACTGATTCATACAAGGTGATTTAAAAATAAGTATCATAAATTATCGGTAATAAAAATTAATGGTTTTGCTGTGATATTTTTATACTAAATGTGGATTAGTTATTGTTTATATAAACATCAGAAAAGTGTTGCCAACTTAAGCTGATCATGATCACTATTTCCCCTATTCTCTCAGTGATCCCTTCATCCATGTACTGGGTCTATGTTGCAATATCCTTAGGTATACCAGCCCTAATAGTAGCAAAGTATTTTTAAATCCATAGAGTCGTCAATCTCAAATTAGAGTAATGAGGTTATATTAGCTCAAATCATTAACAAATTAAATATAAGTTAACAAATAGAGGAGGCTCTAAAAAGGATTTTACTCTGTGCTGTAACAACAGCTAGGTCTCTAACTAGTCTTTAAATAATTAATTTACTAATTTACTATTAGGAGTAGAGCACCAATGCCATCCGCCTTAATGTCTTCAACAAAAAACTCCTAATAGCATATTCAAGATGTTTTGGAAACTGGTTAAAGATTCTGATAGTCCGTAGGGGGTAGGAACGCAGTCTTCGGATATGCTTGGATAAAGAAAATGAATAATTAAATAGTAACAAATGCATATTTTAAAAAATTACTAGCCTTAGTTAAGAACTCTGGAAATTAAGTAGATAACTGTAATTTTGTTTTGCTAGTATACATCTAAAGATTTAAAAGGTTTGGGAGTAAATTTAGAATGGAACAACCTATTTCTGACTTCCACTAAATTGATAACGATTTTGTTAGTAATGGCTCTAATACAGATACTAAAATCAAAGTTAGGTTAGGTATAACTGCTCTAGACTTGTAAAGGTTCTAGTATTTCACTAGAATTTAGAGATGGATTGTCATAGATCTCAGAAACCTTAGATACAGTATGGTATACATTTTTGACTTTCATCATGATGGCCGCCATTATAACTGAATTTTAATGTGGCACTACTGACAAGACAGAATCGGCGTAAGGCTTAGTACTACTACTAATTTACTGCTTGTAACTATCTATATGACCAATAACACATTTCTATGGGTGTATTACCTTAAAGTTACAGCTATTTTTTTGAGAATAACTTGTTACAAATGCAAGAATGTAATAAGATCATAATAAAGTATTTCAATAATTTCGTTGTTTTTTATTACTATATTACTATTTAATATAAATTGATGATATTAATACACCCAATAAAAAGTAGCTGAACAGATTTAAATTAATTATCTATTACAAAATATTTATCAACACGAGGTCAATATAGGTTTTGAATTAGTAACATCTTGAGGAAAAATAATTATTATATTAGCATTATCACTAATAAGTTGTTTAGGAACAGAGGAGTATGTGAAAAAGTTAACAAATTAGCGTTATCGCGAATAAATTGTTTAGGAATACTGGGGTAGGTATGTTTGACTAAAAATCAGGGTAGCCAACAGAATATAATTCAGTTATCATGGCGGCCAGCATGAATAGGATTATTTTATTGTATTGATAGATTCACATTGTATATCTTTAAATTCTCGCGATTATTTTCGTCCAAGAACTAAATTTGTATTAAAATACTCTTTCCGATGAATATTATGATACTTATTTATTCAAACACCATTTCTAATGAGTTTATAAATTTCGTTTTTTTTATATTGTCGGTCATTCTAGTCCTCTAATAAGAAACACAATATATAGGTAATCGAACTTCTGTTTGACTGGTACCTGATTCATGAGTAAAAACGGCTTGACATACAGAACATGGCCACATTCGTAAGGAACTCGACAATTGCGACGTTTCAGGGTGACAAGCTAAATGCTTTCTCAACGAGCCTTCGTTGACGTAGTGTTTGCCGCACACGGGACAAGGATGATTGGCGGTTCTCCTTTTCGCTAAATAAGGATCGATGACGTCAACAGAAGAGAGAAAAAAGGTATAAAGCGAAGCACCCCAGGAATCTTTGTAAAAGCAATATTATCTTAATCTAATTACTAGTATTACTGAATTGTCCGATCATTAAGTCATCCCGAAAATACAGCCTCATAAATTTTTGTAAATGATTTTATATATATTTTTTTAAGTTTAGTTCAAAATTGAGTCATCCAAGCTACTTAAATTGGTTAGTCTTTTATTTCTAGTTTTTTTTAGAGTTATACTAGTCGGTAAATAACTTTCCCATATTTAAAAATGAGAGTTGCATGATTTTGGTATTTGGTTCTTCTTGAATGAAATATACATTATTTATTAGACACCTTTTCAGCCTTATTCTAGATTATAATTCACTCTGAGTGGTAATTGAATGTTAAAAGTAACAGTTACAAATGGTTCGAAGAAAACTTGAAACATTTTTAAAATCTTCAACTTATTTAACGTCATATTTTAGCATTTTGGCTAAAAAAACTTAACCCACTACCCATAATGTTTTTGTTCTTCTTCAAGCCTTACAAGCTATATAACTAATATAGCACTAATATTTTTATTGTAGGACGACGCAACTTTTTATTTAAACTAGAAAAAATACATAAAATCATAAAAAATTCGTGACGTATTTATAGCAAAAAATGTACATAATGATTGGACTATAATATCGACATAAAATTTCAGATGTTTCCATCTCCAGATTTCTGCTAAACCTTGCATACCTTGCATATTAACGTATTGTAGTTGTAATAACTTTTTTATCTACGAAATTAAAAGTACAGATCTATTTTAAGATATTTTCCAATTCGGACCCACCCTGTAGAAAGGTGAACTTTATGTCGATATTATGTTTTCATGTGACGAACATCCATGAAAACAAAAATTGAAAACCAACAAACTCCTCTATTCAAAGTGGAACTTGTAAGCTTTTTTCTTAGAATGACGTAAACAGTAACTATGGTTAATAAGCAAATAAATAAACAGCATACAAAAAGGACAGGGACCCGCGAAGCTCCTTGTTAAATTAACCAACAAAATTTGGTGTTAAAATGGATTTCAACAAACCCCCATATCGGAATATCGGTGTCACGATTCAGATATATGTGTCGGTATGGCTAAATACGCGCGACGGTGGAGGCCACAGAAACCGAAATAGAAGAAGAAAAGCAAAAAAATAAGATACAGGTGTATGTATGTAGCAATGGGGAGATCCTTTGTTAGAGAGAAGTTGTTTTAAACGTTAAGTATAATATAAATTGAAAATATTTCTGATGTATTAGAATGATTAAAATATTAAAAATTGTATACCATCTTAGTATTAGAATTTCATTCAATACGTATTAGTTTGTCTCTCTCTAACTAACCTACCTCTATCGAGTTTGCTGTCAACTGTCTAATTTTCTTCATTTTTATTAGTTTAATGAAATTGGCATTACTGTCAATATTGACTTCCCAAGAAAGGGACCTAAACTATTGTTTAACTATATTTTGAAAATAAAAAACATTTGGTAATGGTGTGTTGAAATCAACACTTTTTTCATTTTTATGCTGTCTCTAGTCTCATTAAACACCCTATATATTATGTCAAATCAATCAGATGATCTATATTAATCAAAACTGTCAAAAATTTGCTTTTCTTCGTTTCTAACACCATCAGCCTTAACAGTTGTAATCCTGAACGTTCTTGACAAGTGACAGTGACGTTTTAGCAGTGATACCAACACAAATATCTAAAACGTGCTACAAATATTTTCTTCCGATTATTTTTAAATTTCGTTCATTTCATATATTGCGTTTTTTTTCAAGTTTTAACATTACTTTCATCATCAATTTTTAATTGAAATAAAAAGAAAAAACAACATGAAAATAACGTCTCAACAACTACATGAAAAAATGCACTAAACTACTTTTGTAAACAAAAAAATGAAAAATTCGTATCAAATTTGTTAGTTGATGTTTTAAAGTTTTATGTATCGTAGACGACTTTAGCGCAAAAGCAGGTGCGGTTTGTTGACGCGGGGAAGAAGAAACTTCCAAAGTCTAGTCGCTATGGGTACAAAAGAAGCAGACTAAACAAGTTACATACATGCAGATTGCTGTCATCTGTCAAGCTATGGACAGGGATAAAAGTGACTGAAATTATGTAGTCTATAGGTGGTAAGCACTGGGTCTAAATTGGTGCCTTGAGATACTCCTTTATTGAATTATATCAAAGACTGTAGGTTTGTACATACTGATAATAAACGAACGAAGGTATATTAATTGATGTTAGAAGACAATTTTATTTAGGATGGTCTCAGAACATCTCCTCTACATTAAGATTAATGTTTTTGTTGTATTTTTACATTATCAAGAACGAAACTCTATTAGCAATTAATTTTTTACTGTTAATTTTTACATACAACTTTTTTGAATAGAGAATGACGAGACCTTTCAAATGAGGCATCACAAGTCGCTACTTCCTATGGTTGCAACTGTCATTCGAAAGGGGTTGAAGGTAGGTGTGAAATTTTCACGTTGCAGAATGTCATTTTATAATCTGAAAATTGGACGTGTTTTGGGATGTTTTTTGTTTTTTTTTGTTTTTTATTTTTTTTTTGTTTTTTGTTTTTTATATTTTTTTTTGTTTTTTATGTTTTTGTATATTTGTTTTTTGTTTTTTTTTGTTTTTTTTGTTTTTTTTGTTTTTTTTATTTTGTTTTTTGTTTTTAGGTTTTGTTTTTTGTTTGTTTTTGTTTCTTTGTTTTTTGTTTCTTTGTTTTTTGTTTTTGTTTTTTATTTGTTTTTTGTTTTGTTTTTTGTTTTCTGTTTTTTTTGTTCTTTCGTCTTTCGTTTTTTGTTATTATTAATATAGTTTGTATAAAAGGAGGCTGAAACTTTTAGCAAGAATATTTTTTTGTGTGTATACATTTTTTTGGGACACACTGTATAATACATTGCGACGTGCTCAAAGAGCACGTCGTTATCAAACATATCTGAATAGACTTTGTTAACGACGTGATTTTCAATCCATTACATTATTTTTTGGAACATACTGTATAATATATTGCGACGTGCTCTTCGAGCACGTCGTTATCAATAATATCTGAATAGACTTTGTTAACGACGTACTCGAAGAGCACGTCGCAATCTATTACATAATTTTTTTAGGAAACACACTGTATAATATATTGCGACGTGCTCAAAGAGCACGTCGCAATCCATTACACTATTTTTTAGGAAACACACTGCATAAAATATTGCGACGTCTTTTTGAGCACGTCGTTATTACCAATATCTGAATAGACTTTGTTAACGACGTGCTCGAAGAGCACGTCGCAATCCATTACATTATTTTTTAGGAAAGACACTGTATAATACATTGCGACGTGCACTTCGAGCACGTTGTTATCAACAATATCTGAATAGATTTTGTTAACGACGTGCTCGAAGAGCACGTCGCAATGTATTATACAGTGTGTTTCCTAAAAAATAATGTAATGGATTGCGACGTGCACTTCGAGTACGTCGTTATCAACAATATCTGAATAGACTTTGTTAACGACGTGCTCGAAGAGCACGTCGCAATCCATTACATTATTTTTTAGGAAACACACTGTATAATACATTGCGACGTGCACTTCGAGCACGTCGTTATCAACAATATCTGAATAGACTTTGTTAACGACGTGCTCTTCGCGCACGTAGCAATCCATTACATACATTTTTTGGGACACTCTATATAATATATTGCTTCGTTAACAACCATATCTAAATACACTTTGTTGTTAACGACGTGCTAGAAGAGTATTTTATAAAACTATACCTTATAATAAACACTGAACGTTTTTTACTTACAACCGTATCGAGACTTATATTCTGTCATTGTGAACCGCAATATTTTGGTTACAAGTCGCCACTGCAACCCATCATTTGGCAAAGAGTTCCTATAACATCATCCTTGGCGATAATTAAATCGTTGCTAGATATTTTATTTTTCAAGGATTTCAACACAGTGACATGTTATAAAATTAATGAATTTTTGCGAGACTTGTTATTTTTCATTGAAAATTGAAATGTTCTTCGATAGCCTTCTAATTAATAAGTGGCTTACAAAAAATTTAAGACTTAAAGAAAGAAAATTTAGCCCAGTAGCCGATAGCGCTTGATGAATACTAATAAAAAATATCTTCGTTCGTTTATATCTTTACTTCTTTACTAATTTTATAAAAAAAGAAAAAGTAAATATAATCAAAAATAGATATTGAATGGTTTAATATGAAGCCTTATCTAACTGCTTCAGATTTGTATATACAGGGAGTCCACAGTTTTGAAAAAATCTATAATGTGAAACGGGGGATTGTTAATATATTTTTTATTTAAAAAAAATTGATCGAAATTTACAAATAAATATTTGTCATATATTTTCGAAACTTTTTATTATTTACATTCCGTTTTTATAGAATAATTCCCAATATGATTTTCTATCTATGCAACCAGCAAGAAGATTTGAAAATAATTTTAATCAAACACACTCACAAAAAAAATTCAGTAAAAATTATAAAAAAATAGTTATTTTTTTTTAAGTGGCTTCTTTCTCTGCGAAAGATCATTAACATTTATATGGATATTAATAATTTTCTTTTCGGTATTTTGGGCTGGAAGTAAAAGAAAAGCGTTCGGAAATAAAGAAGGCGCGTGAAAGAGTTCGAAAAATATGAATTCGAAAGTTAATCCGTCAGTATAAATAATAAATCAATGTCTAAATCCACTTAAAAATGTAAAAGGGCTTTTTTGTAGTAGCATCGATTAGAGTTGAAAGGATGTCTGATCCCCCTTCTGTTCTATTTATTTTTTAATTGTATTCAAATTAAGGTTGTGCTTTGCTTTCTTTTTTTCATTGTACCATTTTCGATATAATAATAATATAAATGCGCCTTTCATCTATATTTTCTCGAATTCAAACATTTCGCGAGTTTTTAAAACAAGACAACTAACAAAGTGTTTCCTTTTAAACTTTTCGCCTCCGTTGTTCTTTGATGTTGAAAGTATTTGAATGATATTTTATCAGTTTTCAGTGCCTGAGCAAATTAAAAGTTAGGAAAGCAAAATAAAATGAATACCAAAGCCGGACCAACTGCAGGTTTAACCTCAAAACATTCTTTAACCAGCTAAAAAAATAGCGTACAAATATTTTTTGATTCCAATTTCATTTAATACAATCTCAAATTTTACTGGGGAATTGTTAATAAAATATCCGCGCCAATATACAAGGAGAGAACGGAAAAATATATTGAAATGCAGTAAAGTTTTGTTAACATTGTTGCCACATGTAATTTATTTTCTGGAAAGTGCAGAAAAATTAAAACTCTTTAAAGCATTAAAAAATTATAATTCCACGTAAATAACTTCCAAAAATAAAACCTTTGTTTATATTTTCCCTATATACCACCTATATTTTATAAAATATGTTTGATTATAAATTCCCAAGCGATGTAGACATGTACCTAAGATAAAACTTTTTCACATGTATGTAACTTTTTTAGAAAAATAATTTTTACGAAAATATTAGACGTTTAAAACTTGGCAACCGTGTTAGAAAAAAAATGAAACATAAAAATTTCAGTAAAAACTGCTTGTGAATACCTTGTCTAATTCTCTTAAAATTTGATAATTTAAGTTTGAAAGTTCTTGACATGCATGGTACATAAAAATGTTAATGTTTCAGTAAAAACTTTAGTGAATATCGACAATGTACACATTTTTGGAAAGAAGAAATGTTTTTTACCGAGGATGTTTAAAATTATAGGGTATTCTATTTAAACTAAACTTACAATATTGGTTCAAATAAGTTAGTTTTTTCCGGCGCTTTACAGAAAAAAATTACATGCGGCAACAATGTCAATAAAAACTCGAAGTACATCTATAAAGTCTAGTAAATATATTCGTTCTCCAGTACTAAGTTGTTAAAATTGTCAATTTACATATGGACCTTGTATTTAAAATCAGGTAGGGATTTATTTTTTTTGACATAAATGTCTGCCAAAAAAATTTCACTTAATTCAATTGCTCAGTGTAAATTAAAGAAAAAAATGACAGGTGGTATGTTTGAAATGTAAGAATAAAAAACGGCAATTTGAAAAGGAAGTAAATTACAATATATTAAGATATAGTGTTATAACTTCTAGTTGACATTTGACGTATGTCGTATAGAGGATAGATAGAGGCAGTTTTGACGTTATTTTGTTCTATCATTTTAAACACCATGCTGAAAGACAGTTATTGTATCATTGATATCAGATAAATAAATGAAATATAAATATTTATAGTGCCTGTAAATGATATAAGGACCAGGGCGTAGAGGGGCAAGGCAAAATAAATTAGTCTGTGCGCCTAAGAACGATTTAATTTATCTTAAGCACCGAATTAAGCTATCTAGATAATTTATAACAATTTATTTGACACACAGGCAACATTTTCTAGAAATATCAATGTTTTTTTCAAAATTTGACGTATAAGAAATTCTACAATTATTTTTCAAATTTCATCTTTGGCCCCAGACTATGTAATCTCTGGCCCCATACTATATAGTGCGGCTTTCTTTGACTGGTTCTTAATTTTGACGTTATTGCGGCGTTGCCGGTACTTACACTTCGTCAGGTAATTTTGGACTTTTTGCAATAATTAATAAAATCTAAGTTTTTTCGAAACATAAACAAGAATGATGATATGTAATGATTGACATTCTATGTTATACTTTTTACAGTTTAACAGCCTCGTTCCCCCTTATTTTTAATCAATTTTTTTTTTCAGAATTAATAAGGCTTCTCCTTATAAAGTTTGTTTTTCTGAAGATTTCAGTTTGATATCGTTTTTTGTTTCTGGGTTAGGGTTTTTGTAATATTTCCACCCCCCTAATTTTTATTTATTTACTCATTTCCCTATAGAGCTTTATTTTTAATAAAAAGTTCATGTTGTTATTGTTTTTCGTTTTTCATTAATGAATTTTTTAAATTTCAACCCCCCTTAAACCCCCCATTCTTAATAGTTTTTTTTTTAAATCAAAGTACTTCTTTCCCTCATAGAGCTTGATTTTTAGTGACGTTGGCCCTTGAGCCCTATAACTACTTCCTATATAATAAATCTGTTACCTTCATTTACGAGAAAAAAATGTCAAATTCTCATATAGTTTTCTTCTATTTTAATTATTTTTTCAATCATCATTTGCTAATTTTGTCTGTCACTTCTTTAATTAGATCAACAAATTCAGAATTCATTAATTATTGCAAAAAATCCAAAATTCCCTGACGAAGTGTAAGTAATGGCAACGTCTCAATAACGCCAAAACTAAGGAGCAGTCAAAGGAAGCCGCTCTACATAGTATGGGGCCAGAGATAACATTTGTACCTCACCAAGTGTGACAGCGTCAGTTCACTTTCTGGCACATCATCAATTTTTGATTGTGTTTTACGAAAAATATAATGGTTGTAAATTGTATTTTTTTATTTTATTTATTCCTATCATTTATGTTATACCTTCTGAACCATCAAGAAATTATATTTCACCACCAACAGGATCAGCAAAACCTAAAAGGTAATCTATATTTCTATACTTTTTTTTTATGTTTAAGAAAAAACGCATTGCCACTTTTTGTTGGCATTTTTTAAAACGGTCTAAATTTTTGTATTGTATAATTTTAGGTTTAAACAAAATCAACTTCCAAGATATGCTGATGATAAGTCTCCCAAAAGAGCAAACAAAGGTTTTAAAATTGTTAACAATAGTATTTGGAGCTAAAAAAACATTAAACAGTTAATCTTCATGTCCAGAACATAATGTTAAGGGCAAACGCCAATAATTTATAGGAACCATCATGCTTTTCTCTTAGATACCGATGATGTATAGAGGTATTTGAAGATTTGAGACTAAACCTAAAACGAAGCTAGGAATCTCGACAGTCAATGTCGTCATGGTCTAGCGGTAAGGGCATTTGTGTACAAAACAAACATGTTTGGGTTCGAATCCCACCGACAACAGGCTTGTTTCAAATTTCCAAGTATGTGTTTTCACCTTTGGGGTTCAGAGATGATTTTAATAATTCACAAGGGGATTTTTAAGATTTATTTCTGAATTTTCAAATTATTCTACAAAGATATGTCTTATATCGTTTACTGGCACTTGGGTTTATTTGAAACCATTTAAAAAACCTTGATCATGGCGATAAATTCAGGTACAATACTTTCTAGTTGACATTTGACATATATGAAGTATAGTAAATGGGCGGCAATTTTAAAATTATTCCCTGTCATTCAACATCATATTCGTTAATGAAGTAAACGATGCAGTTGGTCATAACAAATCACCACTACGAAACTATATAAAAATAAAAAAAAAAAACAGCATGCAAAAATAAACTTTCACCATTAAATCTAGCAACTTACTTGCTACCCCCGAAGCGTTGGGATCCTTATGCGTGTGCTTCATGTGCTCCATCAAAGCTTCGCCGCCGAGGAACATCTTGTGGCAGAGCGGACACGACGTAGCGTTCGGTCCACCAATCAGAGCTGCATGTTGCTGCAAACGACCAATACACTGTTGACAAAACTGCGCGTTAATTTGAAAGTTTAATCAAACCAATAAGGTGAGAGAGAGAGTGGAGAGGTCCTTCTCAATGATGATGATTAAACAGTGAGACAAACGCTGAACGATTGGTTTGATTTGAACTTTTTCTCATTGGTACTGATAGATGTGTCTGGACCATGTCTGGACTTATCTGAATGGTATTTTTATTTTTGGAGTAGAAGGAACGACTGTGTTGTTGGTTGAACGATACAGAGGACGTACTACTGGATGTTTCTGCGTGTGTTTAAGTGTTTCATTGAAGATATTAAAGAAGGTGTAATTGACAAAGAAGAATTATTGAAGTTGTTCAATTCAGCATTTTTTGGTATACCTACAGTACCTTAAGCGATTAATTTTTTATTTATTCGGGACACAGGACTAGCCCAAAAAAGTGTCCACCAGATATTACAATAATTATATCATTTACAATAATATCTACTCACAAATAAAAACTAAAAACTATAATAAGATTATAATGTGTAAATGTAATATACTCGCAGCATCTGCATATAATTGTGATAAACAAAGTTCAATCAACAATGTAAACTAACACAATCCGGTCACACCCATAGGTTAGTCTTAGAGTTCAAACTCTTTTGCCCACGTTACATTAACAAACTGAATGAATACCTTCTCTTGTTCGCCCTAACTAACTGGTTATTGTCTAAGGAAAAAAAATCTTATTATCAAACATCAAATAATACAAAAAATTCCTGACATCAAACGAGGCAAAATATAATTTCAATTTAGCATCAGACCTTTTAAGTTAATAAGAATTGTGATCCATCGCGTTGTTGTGTAATATACAGTGTGATGTAAAATAAATTAATTGTTTGGTAAATCTGTGTAAGCGTGATGATATCAATAAAAAGAATACTTCATTTGAAAAAGGTTTATAAACTGTCAAAAAAACTATTTCTAGAATTAGGTCAGTCCAAATATGTATACATTATTCAAAAATTATATTAAAAAAAGAAAGATTATTTAAGGATATAGCCGACTTCGATATAATGCAATCATGATTTTTTAAATAGGTCACTTAACTTTTCAAAAACAAACAAAAAAATTAATTCAATGATATGCAAAAAGAAACAATAGACCAAAGAAGGCAGCAAGCACAGCATCTACGGAATTTTGATTTAAAACCTGTCATATTTTTAGGCGATTTTAGGGTTATTTTAAGGCTATTTTAAGGCTATTTTAAGACTATTTTAAGACTATTTTAAGACTATTTTAAGACTATTTTAATACTATTTTAAGACTATTTTAAGACTATTTTAAGACTATTTTAAGACTATTTTAAGAATATTTTAAGACTATTTTAAGACTATTTTAAGACTATTTTAGGACTATTTTAAGACTATTTTAAGACTATTTTAAGACTATTTTAAGACTATTTTAAGACTATTTTAAGACTATATTAAAACTATTTTAAAACTATTTTAAGACTATTTTAAGACTATTTTAAGACTATTTTAAGACTATTTTAAGACTATTTTAAGACTATATTAAGACTATTTTAAGACTATTTTAAGGCTATCTTAAGACTATTTTAAGAATATTTTAAGACTATTTTAAGACTATTTTAAGACTATTTTAAGACTATTATAAGACTATTATAAGACTATTTTAAGACTATTTTAAGACTATTTTAATACTATTTTAATACTATTTTAATACTATTTTAATACTATTTTAATACTATTTTAATACTATTTTAAGACTATTTTAAGACTATTTTAAGAATATTTTAAGACTATTATAAGAATATTTTAAGACTATTTTAAGACTATTTTAAGACCATTTTAAGACTATTTTAAGACTATTTTAAGACTATTTTAAGACTATTTTAAGACTATTTTAAGACTATTTTAAGACTATTTTAAGACTATTTTAAGACTATTTTAAGACTATTTTAAGACTATTTTAAGACTATTTTAAGACTATTTTAATACTATTTTAAGACTATTTTAAGACTATTATAAGACTATTTTAAGACTATTTTAAAACTATTTTAAAACTATTTTAAGACTATTTTAAGACTATTTTAAGACTATTTTAAGACTATTTTAAGACTATTTTAAGATTATTTTAAGACTATTTTAAGACTATTTTAAGACTATTTTAAGACTATTTTAAGACTATTTTAAGACTATTTTAAGACTATTTTAAGACTATTTTAAGGCTATCTTAAGGCTATTTTAAGAATATTTTAAGAATATTTTAAGAATATTTTAAGACTATTTTAAGACTATTTTAAGACTATTTTAAGACTATTTTAAGACTATTATAAGACTATTATAAGACTATTATAAGACTATTTTAAAACTATTTTAAGACTATTTTAAGACTATTTTAAGACTATTTTAAGACTATTTTAAGACTATATTAAGACTATTTTAAGACTATTTTAAGGCTATCTTAAGACTATTTTAAGAATATTTTAAGACTATTTTAAGACTATTTTAAGACTATTTTAAGACTATTATAAGACTATTATAAGACTATTTTAAGACTATTTTAAGACTATTTTAATACTATTTTAATACTATTTTAATACTATTTTAATACTATTTTAATACTATTTTAATACTATTTTAAGACTATTTTAAGACTATTTTAAGAATATTTTAAGACTATTATAAGAATATTTTAAGACTATTTTAAGACTATTTTAAGACCATTTTAAGACTATTTTAAGACTATTTTAAGACTATTTTAAGACTATTTTAAGACTATTTTAAGACTATTTTAAGACTATTTTAAGACTATTTTAAGACTATTTTAAGACTATTTTAAGACTATTTTAAGACTATTTTAAGACTATTTTAAGACTATTTTAAGACTATTTTAATACTATTTTAAGACTATTTTAAGACTATTATAAGACTATTTTAAGACTATTTTAAAACTATTTTAAAAACTATTTTAAGACTATTTTAAGACTATTTTAAGACTATTTTAAGACTATTTTAAGATTATTTTAAGACTATTTTAAGACTATTTTAAGACTATTTTAAGACTATTTTAAGACTATTTTAAGACTATTTTAAGGCTATCTTAAGGCTATCTTAAGACTATTTTAAGAATATTTTAAGAATATTTTAAGACTATTTTAAGACTATTTTAAGACTATTTTAAGACTATTTTAAGACTATTATAAGACTATTATAAGACTATTATAAGACTATTATAAGACTATTTTAAGACTATTTTAAGACTATTTTAAGACTATTTTAATACTATTTTAATACTATTTTAATACTATTTTAAGACTATTTTAAGACTATTTTAAGACTATTTTAAGACTATTTTAAGACTATTTTAAGACTATTTTAAGACTATTTTAAGACTATTTTAAGACTATTTTAAGACTATTTTAAGACTATTTTAAGACTATTTTAAGACTATTTTAAGACTATTTTAAGACTATTTTAAGACTATTTTAAGACTATTTTAAGACTATTTTAAGACTATTTTAAGACTATTTTAAGACTATTATAAGAATATTTTAAGACTATTTTAAGACCATTTTAAGACCATTTTAAGACTATTTTAAGACTATTTTAAGACTATTTTAAGACTATTTTAAGACTATTTTAAGACTATTTTAAGACTATTTTAAGACTATTTTAAGACTATTTTAAGACTATTTTAATACTATTTTAATACTATTTTAAGACTATTTTAAGACTATTATAAGACTATTTTAAGACTATTTTAAGACTATTTTAAGACTATTTTAAGACTATTTTAAGGCTATTTTAAGACTATTTTAAGACTATTTTAAGACTATTTTAAGACTATTTTAAGACTATTTTAAGACTATTTTAAGACTATTTTAAGACTATTTTAGGACTATTTTAAGACTATTTTAAGACTATTTTAAGACTATTTTAAGACTGTTTTAAGACTATTTTAAGACTATTTTAAGACTATTTTAAGACTATTTTTATAACCTATTCAAAAATTATATGCCCATCTTTTACAAAAATCAAGTTGCTCTGCTAGTCAGCACAGCACCTTAGTTTTTTTTTATCAAAAACAACACCATATTTTTTAAAATATAAAAAATTAGTATTTTTAAAAAATACAGGGTGATTTGCTAGCTTCAAACGAATCCAGCAAAGCACCTGTTTCTTAAAGCTTTTTTTTCAAAAAGCACTACTCCACATTTTTAGACTATTTTTTGGCTATTTTTTTGGCTATTTTTTGGCTATTTTTTTGGCTATTTTTAGGCTCTTGAAATATTATAAAACACTGTGGTTTGCCAGTTTCGAACGAATCCAGCAGAACACCTAATTTTTCAAAGCTTTTTTTTTTAAATTAATTTTACTATTTTTTTTTTCAAAAATTTTTGTATTTCATGAAAGTAAAAATAGTTTAGAAATGTGCCATAAGTATTTGTTTCAGAAAAAAAAAACAATAAACCGAGACCCTCTGCTGACTTTGTTCTAAAAATAGCAATTTTTTAGTAAAGTGTTATAATATTTCAAAAGCCTAAAATAGCCTAAAAAAGTGGTGTGGTAGTTTTTTGAAAAAGCCTAAAAAAAATGAAATGCTCTGCTGGATTCGTTCGAAGTTAGCAAAGCTATTTTTTTTTCGAAAAATTTTATATTTTAATAGCCTAAAAGTAGCCTAAAAATATGGCGTTGTTTTTGGTAAAAAACTTGAAAAATTGAGGTGCTGACTTCGTTCGAAGCTAGCAGAGCACCTTGATTTTTGTAAAAAATTAACCAAAAATTTTTGAATAGAGTACAAAAATAGCCCTAAAATAGTCAATAAATATGGCATAGATTTCAACTCAAAATTTCCTAGGTGTTCTGCTGCCTTCTTTGCCATAGAAACAATGGAAAACCAATTTTTCCTGCCACAATTTTTCGATAATAGTCAAATTTTATAACGAAACAGTACTTTTTTTCAATTCGCAACAAATTTGTACAGGGTGAGTCATGTATAGATAAAAAATT